TAATATTTTTAGATAGATATTCTTGAAAAACGTATTCACACTTACATCAAATTATTCACGATATATAAAGTATTCCCTACCTTAACCAAATTAAGTGAAATACACATTTTCACCCTTGCTACATAAAAAGAAAAATTACGACAAAGAAATGTGTATTTTCTTTGTTCAGTACGCATTTTACATTATTGGTTTAATCCAGGTATAGTACCTACAATTTTCACCGAACATAGAAATTACGCATTTCCTTGTCGACTTTTTTTCGTTTTAGTATGTATAATTAATTTCACCCTATAAAAGGTTTAAATTGCATTGTTTAGACTTCTCATAATACTTTACTATTTATATGAAAAAATGGCTGAAAATATACTTATTTGTACGAATTTAGATATCTATAAGTACCGAATTATTGTTTTGATAAAAATTAACCAATTCACCAATCAAATTATTGATTCAGACACAGGTTTATCAAAGTTATTTTTTTTGTTTGCAGCTACCTAACATGGTGCACAAAACTAACAATTTCTACTTCCTTTTTGGTGCAATTTGTTATTTTTAAAGTAATTGTAAGCACCTAATTAGTTATATCGGACTTATTATTTAAATTATGATTTTCAATTATTTATTTCAATTTACTGTCTCCTTCCGACGAGTCGTTCCAAGTACGAGAGCTCAGTTGTTTCTTACGTCGGTTAGTCATTCTACGTAGCAGGACTTCAGACGTTTCTTACGTCTTTCACCGCGCCAACAAACTAAAAATTGCCGCAAAGTATCGAGGCACAATTTTCATCAGAAGTTCGAAAACGACCGTTCTTGGCAGCACCTGCTGGGTTGTTAAAGCAAGATTGTACCATACAATGGGCGGCACTATTTCAATTCAATGGCGATCATTAGCAAGAATTGATTTGCATCTAAATTAACAATTTTTTGTGTACAATTAAGTTATAAACAGATACAACAACACACGAAGAAAACTAAATTTTTATGCCAACGCAAAAATTACAATTTTCGATTGTAAATGAGGGAATTTCAAGTTTCTAAATTTATTTTTGCTGGAATTTCATTTCAAAGCAACGGGCTGGTGGGATAAATTGTAAACAAAGCTTTAATATTTGGTAATTTTTCCTTTTGACGTGACAACGTCTTATAATTCGATGGAGCCGGCTGCACGCACGAAAAAACATGACTCATGCGGCGTTACCTCGCTCTGAGGCGTTCCATTTAAGGCTTGAAGTGCAAGCGAGAGCGCGGAACGAGCGACAAAGAGGCACAATCGGCCT